CCCCGCAGGAGTGTGGCCGCGACGCGCTGGCCCGGCAAGTCGGCTCCAGGCGGAGGGTCAGGGACCTGGAAGAGACGCAGGGGCCCCGTGAAGGGCTCCCCAGGGTCGGAGGGAGACGACGCGCACGCGGGGCTAGAGGACGAGGTGGAACGAGGCGAAAACCCCAGCGAGGTACTGGGAAGTGTCGGGCTTTGAAGAAGCCGCTGCTTCTTCCTTGAGCAGGGGCTCAGGACAGTTCGGGAAAGAAGGTGGCGTTTGAAAGAAAGCCACCCGAAGTGTGCCCAGGGGTGACCGGTAGTCTCGTAGACAGTGCCCTTTCAGCCCATCGTCTTCGCAGGCGTGTGCCTTTAATGTTTTCCTTTCGCGTTCAAGTCCAGTTGACACACGCACCGGGCATGCAGTTCGGCAGCTGGCCTTTTCCACAGAGTCCGACTTAAATGTCCCTCCATGTGGATGAGCTTCATTCACTTCCGGTCCCGTATTACGGCTGCAGCGTAACTGACTCGACCAGCCCCTTGTTAACGTGCAGCCGGGCTGCTTGCAGCTTCTGCCTTGAGTCCCTCCCTAGCGGCGATAGTGCAGCTTGCGGCTTCCTTAAAATGCCCGTCCCCAGTGCTGTAATTCAGGAGTTTGGAACTCCTGCCCTAGAGGAACTACTATTTTATTATTGTTGTTGTTGTTGTTATTATTTGACTTAGGGATAACATAATATGGACCATTTGTATTTTAGAAAAAGCAGTTTAAAACTGCCCTTAAAAGACACCAATTAGAAGATGTAAGGAAGCCGGGTGGCCCCCCGCTAGTCCTGCCCGAGGCACCTCGGCGCTGCTGAGCGCCCCCTTGTGGTCCCAGGCGCTGTAAGGCTTTGCTGCGCGAGCGCTTCCCAGCTCTGGTTTTTTAACCTCCAGGGCAGTGACATCTATGAGCCACATCTATCATTTTATGTTATTATTATTTTTAAAATATGTTCTGACTGATTTCAGAGAGAGAACTAGAAACACCAGTCTGCCGCCTCCTGCACCCCCCTCCCCCCATAGAGCCCTCAACCCAGGCATGTGCCCTGAGGGGAACTGAACCGGCCACCTTCCTGTGGACTGGATGACACCCAACCCACTGAGCCACACTGGCCCGAGCATTTCATTGTAATTTTCATGTTTACTTTTCAAAGGCAGGAAGAGTGCCTTCTCCGTTCTTCATGTGAGCATTGCGGAGCATAGCAGGAATCCAGTCAGTATTTACTGAAAAATCTTGATGGGTCTTTTGGGAATAGACTCTGTAAGGTAAAGAATCTTTTGGTTCCAAACCTCAAGCACCATGCGAGGTGGTGGCCTCGGAGCCAGACAGAGGTGCAAGTGTATCCTGGCTTCACCACTCCCTATCCATATGACCTTTGAGCCTCAGGCCTTACTAGTCTTAACAACCTTTATGAAGTAGTTACTATCACCATCCCCATTTTACAGTTAAAAAAACCCCGAGGCTCAGCCCAGCTCTCTTGTTCTCTGAGAAGAATTCTAAGGGGAAGTGGCTAATTTAGAACTTGAACCTCGGTTTTTAACCTTCTCTCTAGTGCTCTAACTATACTGTGCTGCTGGAGGCTGTCTTTAGTTAAACCAGCTTCAGAGACAACTTGTTATGGGTTGAATTGTGTCTCCCCCAAATTCACATGTTGAAGTCCTAGCTCCCAGTACTTCAGAATGTCACCTGATTTGGAAATAAGGTCTTTACAGAGGTAAGCAAGTTAAAATGAGGTCATCAGGGTAGGCCCCAATCCGATATGACTGGTGTCCTTATAAAAAGGGGAAATTTGGGCACAGAGGAAAAACTGTGACAAGCCAGAGAAAGAACCCAGCCGTCTACCAGCCAAGGAGAGAGGCCCTCACAGCCACAGAAGGAACCAGTCCTGCCAACACCTTGATTTTGGACGCCAGCCGTCAGAACTGCAAGGCAATACATTTCTGTTGTTTAAGCCACTCAGTTTATGGTACCTTGTTGTGACAGCCCTGGGAAACCAATGTACACATATATTAATAAATTCTACCAGTCAGAGTCACTGTCTGTGCTATCACCAGCATTTGGCAGCCCTTATGTTATAGAAACACTGGTTGGGAGAGTCACCTTCCCAGAGGCAAAAGGACAGAGCAGATCATCTTTCCAGCCTGCTCCCAACCTCGATACTTGGCTAAGGTATTTTTCTTACATTGGCCAACAGTGGTGGCATGTCCACTTGACTGTGACCTTGAGTCTGTTTTGTATCCCTGAGCCTGGCTTACAGAAGGTGCTCACTAAATGCGTGTAGAGGGAATGGGCAGGAGAATATATCCCTGACCACTCTGATCCAGGCATCTCTAACCAATGAGTTGGGCTGTCATCAGCGGCAGTTGAACTTGGGCACTGACTCCTAGAGTTTACGGACAAGCCCAATTCTGGGAGACACAAGCAAGATATATTGGAGATGACTCAGGGTTGGCCAGAGAAGTTCCAGTGCAGAAAGCCGTTTTCTGCTGCTTCATTAATCTTGCTGTTGAGGATAAACGAGATGCAGACTTCCGTAGCTAAGTCTTCATTAGCTGCCCTGTTAATACAGCTGTGACAAATCAGAATGAAGCCCTTATGAATAAAAAAAAGATCAACCTGGCATAAAAAATCGTAGGCCAGAGAAAAGAAAATCTAGAGGAGCTGATAAAAGACCGCATTCTTAATGAGGCTGTCTGCATCTCACGTCAAATCAGCCCTAATGCTAAGATTTATTGTCCCTGGAATTATGCAAATCAAATAAGTGCTTGAAATGAATGTTGGAGAATTACCTGGATTAGCGTGTGTTGGGATGCATACCTGCGCGCTGTGCTGGTGGTCAAATGCAGCCTTGCAGCATCGTTTGCCATGAGTCCCTGTCCACCCCCTCCGCCCTGGTGGGTTTCAGAGCATACACTTGTGGGGTAACAATATGTCCCGTTGTTAGTAATCTCTGTCATTATCCTGGGAGAGTCCTTGGACAGTGAGATATCTCTCTGTTTCTTCACCATCTATGAACTTAGTAGGTGTTACTGGTCCTAACTTTGAAGACAATGATGTGAAGCCCCTGAATTTTGCCCCTCCCGCCACGGAGAGCAGAGTGGAGAGCTTGCCCGTTGACGGCTCCTGTCTCTCTTGGAATCTTTGTTTAGCTTCAGGAGCTCCTCTACTCTCACAACATTGGATGACCCTCTTTTAAGACATTGGACCCGCCCTCTCATGCCTGATAGCTTCACTTTCCCCACTATGAATGAAGATAAAGATAGTACCTACCTCATGTGCTGTGAGAATTCCACAAGACAAGCATGCTAAGCCCATGGCATAGTCCCCGGGCCTGTGGCAAGCACTGGACAGATGCCCGTGGTTGTTGCTGTAGCCAGGACCCTGAGAAATGACAGCCCAGGCCAACTTGAAGGAGATTACCATCCAGGGTTCTTAGTGGCAAGCAACAGAAGCTGGCTCTGGCTTATGGAGCAGGAAAGGGAGTTTTAAAAAGACATTGGGGAGCTCGTGGTTACCCAGATTTTTTTTGGGGGGGGAGGCGGGCATCTGGAGAACTCAGTCTAAGCTTCCAGTGACAAAACCCCAAACTCCCCATGAGGGAAACACCCCTACCACCGCCACCATCTGGATTGCACCCACGACAGCTTGCAATGCCCATGTTGCTACTGCAGAAGGAACCCAGTCCTGCAACCCCTGTGCCCCTGCTCAGCTGCCGCCTTCGCCAGCAAAGTGGAATTTTCCCAGAGCCTCTTTTTCCCAGAGCCTCTGAACGGCAGTCTGTGTGGGTAAATGTGAGCAGAGGGCCTGGGTCATGTGCCTGGCTTTAGTTGTAAAGGAAGCCGAGGAGGAAATGTTCTGCTTTCTGTGTTTGTTTGGAGAGTGCCCTGAACATGGTAAAGGCATCCACTTGGGAGCATTTCAAGTGTCTCCTACATGGGGCCTCTTGCTCTGCATGAGGAGGCCTCTTAGCTAGAGCACCCCCAGCCCTTCTTCAGCTCAGAGAGCCACTGGGCACAGTCCACTCCCTGGCAAAGGGAGGGGAATGCTTTCTGTCTGAGCCAGGTGGGTAGATAGGGCATTTTGCTTTGTGCTCCCATAAAGGCCATAAACTGCATCTCAGAGCCCCCTGGTCCCGCAGCTTCATGCTGTGGCCTTGCTGTGGCTCTGCAGGCCTATCTCTTTATTCTTTCTCACTCCTAGTTCGCCAGATTGTGTGCTGGGAGCAACAGTAAATCAGGCAGAACTTCCTCAGTCCAGGAGCTTGTGTTTATATAGTAAATAAG